AAAAAAAAGACATGGTCTGGCAGGAATTTTTGCAAACAATTGTAAACAAGCAACAAAGCTTTGTATCAACCCTTTTCTGTTGATCATCTTGATAACTGTATAGAGGTCACATGGCATATTGGAAACATTATAGACTAACTTTGAAGCCCACTCTACCACTTACAGCAGTGTGGCCTTAGACTCATTAACCTCTCTGAGCCTTAGAAATTAAGACCACTCTATTAGAGCACTATAGCTACTGAAGAAATATATTGTTAATGTTTTGGGAGGGATTTAAGTTACTGTTAAAATTCTTACTTGCTCACAGCTAGATTTCTTATAGATATGGCTTTTTTCCTTGCCTAATATCTGTGGATCTGTGCAGTGCTTAGATTTTAAGAACCATAATTTGAAAGTGCTAGCAGTTAAGACTTAATGACTTCATTGGATGTTCTTCTTTTATGGTTCTTTGAGGTTATTTTATATTTTAAAATAACTGGGTCCTTTTAAAAGATAAGAATAACCAGGCGAGGTATAGAGAATCCAGATTTTGGGGTTCCATTTACTGTGTCATTCTCAGTTTTAGTGCTTTTCTTTGACATTAGAAAATGTATGCAATGAGGGTACCTCATTGCATATCAGGATACCTGATAATGTATCTCTCCGGGTGTGCCATTTTTTCCTTGCATTTTGCTGAAGTCTCTGGTGCTTTGATCTCTAATCAAAGTTGCTATGTAGGCATAATGTGGTCAGTCCATTTGAACCAGGAATGTAGCACTTAGTCTTGCCTTTCCCAGTGACCTTTCAAAATGAAAATAAATCAATACATTATGTATGGTTGGTGATACTGGATTTAGTAGACCAATTTAAAGTTATGGTGGGGCTGGCCCCGTGGCTTAGCGGTTAACTGCGCGCGCTCTGCTGCTGATGGCCCAGGTTCGGATCCCAGGCGCGCACCGACGCACCGCTTCTCTGACCATGCTGAGGCCGCGTTCCACATACAGCAACTAGAAGGATGTGCAGTTACGACATACAACTATCTACTGGGGCTTTGGGGAAAAAAAGGAGGAGGATTGGCAATAGATGTTAGCTCAGAGCCGGTCTTCCTCAGCAAAAAGAGGAGGATTAGCATGGATGTTAGCTCAGGGCTGATCTTCCTCACAAAGATAAAGAAAGAAAGAAAGAAAGAAAGGAAAGAAAGGGAAAGAAAGAAAGTTATGGTATAATAAGTATATGTTAAAATAGAACATGTTTTCCCCATTAGTTCTTAACCATCAAGAATACCATCTTAAAGTTGCATAGATTGACCTAAGATTAACATGAAAGAAAAAAACATTAACTAGAACTTTCCATCAAGTCAGTGACTCACAAGCTTCCACCACAGTCTCCTTATTGTTTTGTTATTTGGATTGAGACAAGTGCTGTTTGGTGTTAGAAGCTCTTATTACTGAGATCTAGGTAACTGCCTCATCCAGAAGGATGAGTGACTCTGTCCTCATGAAGTTTCTTGGGCAGTGCCACAGAGCATGGAGTTAGGAGTTTTAAATGCTAAGCTGTGTCAGCCTTCTGACACCTGACACCCAGAGTCCTGGTTTTAACAATCCCAGGGAGTCAGCCTCTGAACCAGTCAGTGGACATTGTCCCTTAGGAACCAGGCCATGGTGAACAACCAGAGGGCTTTCTGGGGCTTGCGTTTTCACACTATTGACTGTTTTTGTGGTTTTTCCTCGGTCAGGAACCAGTTCCCTTTTCTTTCCCGGAGGTCTTTACTCCCCACTAGAGGTCTCTCCATTGTTAGAAGCTGCTGTGTTGCCAGGAGTCAATGTTCTGTGCAAGCTGTCTTCAGTACCGTAGAGGACTGGCCTCCCCAGAGCGGTGCCCAGCCTTGAGAGGGTGGTAACTATTATTTTTTGGGTGCTTAAGTCATACAACTAGTAAGGAGCCGAAGTGAGGTTCAAACTCGGGCAGTTTAGCTCCTGATACACTCTGGGTGGAGTAGCCAAGCTCTTTTAACAGCCTCTGACAGTAGAAAAACTGCCTGTCTAGAGTACTGTACACTCCTAAAAGTAACCCCTTTCCGGCGAGTGAGACTGTATCACATCTCTCTCCTTTCTGCATTCTCCACCTCTAAAAGCAGCCTTCAGTATGCTTAGCTTTCACATCCTCTGTGAATCTTGAAAGATACTAGTTCACTGCTCACGCTCACACATGAGTGCCTCTAACTCTGCTTGTGGAATGGTTCTTATTGCACACTCCCTCTGGTAAATACCAGGGCATCCACCTGAGCCCTACCAAATGCTTGGTCCTACAAGCTCTTCCATAAATAACGTCTCACTCTCCTGGTTGCCTAAGGCACTCAGGCAAATGACCCCCCAAAAGACCTTACATTCTTTCTCTTTTTGCATGGGGAAGATTGGCAGCTTCAGACTCAACAGTCCTTGTGTCAAAATCTTCAGGACTCCATACGATCTAGCATTTGCACTCCTGGCCATATATCCCAGAGAAATGAAGATTTAAGTTCACATAAAAATATGTACCTGACTGTTTTAGAAGCTTTAACATAACACCCCAAAACTGTAGACAACCAGATGTCCTGTGATAGGTGCACACTTAAACTGTGGTATGTCCCTACCATGGAATACTACTCAGCAATAAAAAATAAACTGATACAGACAACAACCTGGATGAATCTCCAGAGAATTATGTTGAATGAAAAAAAACAATTGCAAAAGACTACATACTATATGGTCCCATTTATATAACATTCTTGAAATGATAGAATTATAGAAATGGAAGACAGAGTAGTGGTTTCTAGGGGTTCAGGAGGGCTGGGGATGGGCCGAAAGTAGGTGTGGCTATAAAAGGGCCATATGAGAGATCCTTGTGATAGAAACGTTCTATATCTTGACTATATCAACGTCAATATCCTGGTTGTGGTACTGTACTATAGGTTTGCAAGATGTTACTGTTGGGGGAAACGGTAAAAAGTACACAGGATCTCTCTATTATTTCTTACAACTGAATCTAAATGTATAATTATATCAAAATAAAAAGTTAAATTTAAAAAATCTTTAAATGTTCACCCTTGGACAATAGTTAATATGTATCCTGATTTTTATTCACTTTTATAAGTTGGAGAACCTTGGGGAAGCTATTTCTAGATTTCTAGTGATTAAGGTCTAATTGGGGTCTCAGATAGTTTCTTGGCAGGCTTCTAGTAATTAACTCTAATGCACTTGTGTAATATTAAGTTTGAAATCACATAAATAAATCCGTAATTTGATTTATTTTCTTAGGGGGCCTTGTCATATCAAAAGAAAATGGCAGAAGCATTGTCTTTCTTGTGGATTTAAGGGAACATTAGGATCATTGTGGGGGGGCATAACTATAATCTATAATTCTATCTCCAAACAAAAAGCAAAACTTATCATTTTCATAATGTGAACTCTACTATCTTCAGAATAACCCCCCTGCACCATTTTAACTTTAAAAATTAAAGCCAACTCATATATTAGAGAGAGGCTTTAGTGATGAAGACTCAGCTGCAGTGGTCAGGACAAAAAAAGGAAAAATACTAGGCTTTGAGTGAACTCAAAATATTTATTAAGGAAATAGATTAAGTGGCTCAGTGATGTCAAGTTTGTCTAAATTGGTATTATAGATGCAGAAAACTAGGAAGCAGTAGAGGAGGGTAGATGTTTTGTGTATCACCATGTCTTCATGATATTTGTTGACACTGTTGTGGGACTGGTCCTCACGTATACAGACATGCGCCACATGACGACATTTCAGTCAACGATGGACCGCATATACGACGGTGGTCCTGTAAGATTAGTACCGTATAGCCTAGGTGTGTGGTAGGCTATACTATCTAGGTTTCTGTAAGTACACTCTATGTTCACACAGTGAGGAAATCTCCTAACACCACATTTCTCAGAATGTTTCCCCGTTGTTGAGCGACGCAGGACTGTAGTTTGTTAGCCCTGGTCTTCACTTCCAGCCTAACACTGATACAACCTGATTTACATATTGTAAATGGAGCTTCATGAAATACTATTAATTGTTTCCCTGTATAAGTTTATTTAAAGAGATTTGATGACAGCATGAATGACCAGTAAAAAGTTAACCTGAATTTCAGGCTGAGCCAGAAATTTGGGATTTAGACTTTATAGCTCACCACCAAGTGTGGGTATGTGGAATATTTCAGGCACACAGTAAATATTTGTTGAACAAATTAATATTGCTTTTCTGTGGCCCAGACTGCCAGTCCATGACCCCCACTTCCATGATCCCTCAAGAGAAGAATGCAGTGGGGCAGACAGGGTATTCTCGAAATGTCTCTTGGTGCATAGAGGGGATACTGAGTGGGTCCCAGGGAGAGCATGGAGACAGCACCATGGTTTGGGAGGAGCAGGGTCAGGCATGTGGGAAAGACTGCAGATAGATTTGAGCCAGTTTTTCTTTCACACTGAAAAGAAAAGATGGAGGGGGGTGGTGGGCAATCTCGAGGAGATTTAAGTATCAGCATTCAAGATAGATTAGAAATATTTTTTCTTAAATGTATCCTCTTTGGTTTAAATATAAGTATTGGTTGTTTTTACTTTTTACCCCATTGCAAGTAGCATTTTATTTATAAAAATGCTTTTGTGGGCAAATCTGAGATCTAGCCACCACTTATAATGTGAAAAATATGCATTCTGAATTCCAGTGACTTAGAGTGAATTTTCAGAGCCCAGTTTGTTCCCTACTGATGGCACATAATTTGATTCTTTTTCTTTTATCTTTCTGACCATGCTTTCTTGTTTGTGGGCAGCAGAGCCACTCCTTATTAACCCCCTTCTTTTTCCTTTTCATTACTCTATTATTCGTTAGTTACTTTACTAGCCTCACAAGTTGATGCCTCACCCACAGATTTTCTGGAGAATATCTACAGGCCCCACTAGCTTGTCTGTATTTAATAGAACAGCAAGTCCTTTTTCACGCCACATCTTTGTTATAATTGAATTTTTTGTTTACTGTAGATCCTTGCCTGCACATATCTGAATATTCTATTGAACCTCCTTAAGAATTCAGAGAAACTGCCGGGTGACCACTGAAAGAAAGATCTGATCTTAAGGCTTACGTGAGTATTTTCTACTGTGGACTTCCTCACAATATGTGAAAGCTTCATTGAACTGTGGCCTTGCTTTAGGGCAGATTCAGTTGTGTGATTAAGATGAAAATGTTATCTATCATTGGGCGTATTAAATTTGGGGGTAAGGTTAGCAGTTTCTCAAGGACACAAAGAAACTCATGAAATACATCACACTTATTCTCACTTAAAAAATAGACAAGAAAGGCTTGCCTTTTTACTGAGCCAACATTCAAAAGAATCCCAGTCTGCAAACCACAAGAATTCTTACTGTGTTTGAACCAAAACACCAAGTAGATTGTTTTTCATTGTCTATTCTTACAGAATTTAACCAAAACACATTACCTCTTAAAAAGCACTTGATATGTGGTATTTTATTTTTTAAAAAGTTTGTGATAGCTTTGTCTTTTTTATGATCCAATCCAATGAATACTGCAGGGGAAGATAGGGAGTTTCCCTCAAAAGAGAATTCTTGACTACTTTATTGAGTAATTTCTTCTCATGAGTTAATTTCTTTAAAAATCATTGTTTAATGTCAAAATCTGAAGTTTCTTTTATCTTGATCTCTGTAATTCTTTATCATAAGCAGATTTTCCCCTTATTTAGAATTATCCTTAACAGCTCCTCCTCACTGTTTATAACCAATGGGTCATTAAGTTGTGCTGATTCTATCTTCCATATTCTCCCTCCAGTGTGCCCCCTTGTCTCTGCCACTGCCTTAGATCAGGCTGTCATCATTTCTTGCCTAGAGTTCTACAGTGATCTACTGGCTGATCTTCCTGTCTCCAGTCTTGACCCCTCCAATCTAACTTCTCCATATTGCCAACAAAATAATCTTTCTGAAAGATTAATATAATAAGACCATACCATTTCCTTGGCTTAAAATCCTTCAATGACTCCTTACTAAAATTCAGGTCTAAAAAACCTTACCATGGAGTTGTTAGAAAGATTAAATAAAATACATTAAGAACCCCTAGTGCAATGCCTGGCTCAGAACAGGCCCTCAGTATGTGTTAATATTTCCCGTTTGCACAGATTAACCCATGGCAGCAGCAGAGCTCTCGTGTTAGGGGAGCCCAGGACTAGAGGGACAGTGGCTCTGCTGGGAAACCAGGCTGAAAGGAATACGGGTCAAGAATCTCACCAAACTCCAGAGCCATGCTTTCCTGAATCCCCTTAAGGATAGGCACAAGAGTAGATTGGTCTGGCATCCAGTTGCATCAGTGTTCCAGAGAGAAAGACTTTGCATAATAAACTACGAGTCAAGCCTGTCTGTAACTAAGCTTTTGTAACGGGAACCATCTCTATCAAAACATCAGTCTCTGCCTTTATGTTTTTTGGTTTGGTTTGTTTTCTCTTCAATTTCTTAGTAAAGCTTCTGTTGTCAGGCTTTAGGTTTTGCTTAAATGAACCAAGGGGAGGAGAGAGAGAGACATACACACACAAAGAAACCTCTGAGTCAGGGAAGTGTCAATGAGAGAGATGTGGACCAACGGACTGGTGAAGCTAGGTTACTCAGATGGATGAAATATTAGAGTGGACACAGTGGGATTGTTGCTGTTGTCCCACTTCTCTATTCCCAGACAGACCTGTTTTTCCTCAGCTCTCAGTCTTCAGACAACGGAAGTTTGGCAAAATCAGATATTTAGATAACCACAGAACAGTGCAGAATAGCAGGAATACTGTAAAAAGACAGACAGTCTAAATTGATTTTATGATATTTCCAATTTTTAAATTCAGTTTGTTGCTTTCCTTAGCTTTTCTCTTTCTATTAAAATTTGAAGTCAGTGCTATAAACACAACATTCAGTGGGTCCTCATTGAATGTGAATGAAGTTATTTTATTTTTTTTTATGCTGATTTAGTTAACTTTTAAGCAGGTAGTTGTGTTTACCACATAGCATACCTCAAATACAATAAGCAAATATATGAAAGAGGATTACTTGTTTTAAAGAAGAATCTCTACCAGCAGTAGCATTTGTGTGTGTGTGTGTGTGTAGGTAGGTCTTTGAAGTTTAAGGATCACATATCTATGTCTTCTGACAATGCAGTAAACTTAAATCTAAGCAGTTATATCTTACTTAACTTTAAAAATCTCTCTTAGTTTTTTTACATGATGAAAAGCAAAATAGAACTGTATAGTAATTTCATTGCAATTTTGATCCAGCATATATGAAAAAAATAAGACATTTTAATGGAAAATAAAATATTATTGATAACTTTGTTGTGGTTCCTGTTTGGTGAGGTAATTTATTAGAGGCAGGAGGCCAAGAAGAATAAGTAACAGTGCTTTTTTAAATGACTTCATTGTCTGGATTTAGTTTGGCTTCACCAAATCTCACTCACCTCATATTTCATTACAGGCGTATTCTAACTGCCACATCAAAACAATGTCCTACGTTTTTGTAAATGATTCTTCTCAGACTAATGTGCCCTTGCTACAGTCCTGTACTGATGGAGACTTTAACTATTCCAAGCGGCTTTTGGAAAGTGGCTTTGACCCAAACATTCGTGACAGCAGGGGCAGAACAGGCCTTCACCTCGCAGCAGCCCGAGGAAATGTAGACATCTGCCAGTTGTTGCATAAATTTGGTGCTGATCTTCTGGCCACGGATTATCAAGGAAACACAGCTCTTCATCTCTGTGGCCATGTGGATACTATTCAATTCTTAGTTTCCAATGGACTCAAAATTGATATTTGGTAAGTTCCCTGTGGTTTTTAAAGTCTAGTCAGTTCTTTCCATTAGTCTCCCAACCCATAGTGTAATCTCAGAGTCTATTGATTTTGTTTCCTTATTGATCAGTTGTAGTGACAAGTTCAGAAAGGCATTGAGGACAGTGTAATTTTGTTAGGGAAGTGAGGGAACAAGGGGCTGACTTCTAGATTTATGCTGAAGCAGTGTAAGTTTTTCTATGAAAATAGTGGCTAGGATGTACTACTAATTAATTGTGTATTGTAAGATATGGGAAAAAGAAGAAAACTAATATTTGTTGAAAATCAATTATGATGGGCCGGCCCCGTGGCTTAGCGGTTAAGTGCGTGCGCTCTGATGCAGGCTGCCTGGGTTCGGATCCCGGGCGCGCACCGACGCACCGCTTCTCTGGCCATGCTGAGGCCGCGTCCCACATACAGCAGCTAGAAGAATGTGCAACTATGACTTACAACTATCGCCTGGGGCTTTAGGGGAAAAATAAATAAATAAATAAATAAATAAATAAAACTTTAAAAAAAAAAAGAAAATCAGTTATGGGCTGGGCGCTGTGTTTACTTATGTTAGCTCATTTAATCCTCAGAATGAATAGTTCTTGCAATAGGTATTATCTTCATTTTACAGATGAAATAGTTAGACAAGAAAGGTTAGATGACTTAACAAAGGTCATGCAGCTGGAATTTGAACCTAGTTCCACCTGATTCCAAAGCTTGTTTGCCTTCTATCATATAATATACTATGCTAGCTTCATAATCTCTCTGGGGCTCAAAGTCCTTTTTATACTGAACATTTTGAAGAAGTCATGGGTTTTTTTGTTTGTGTTAGTGATACGTTCTGTCTTGAGTGGAAAAGATGTCAGGCCACCTTTAAAACAGCTTGACCTTTAAACTACAGTTACATATTGCCCTAATTTATTGGTGCTATAATGTCCCTAAATCTGAATAGGACATTAAATGGTTCTGCTACTGCGGAGGACGAAATGTGGTGGGAGTTGACTCCGGGCCTCAGTGTTAGCGGGCTCTCTCCTGTTGTTGGTGTTAAATAGCTAGTCGATCAAAGCAGCTTATTTGGTTGCTTTTGGGTTTTTGGGTTTTTTTTAATTCTTAGACTTTTTTTTTATGTACACTCTTCCAATAAAATGTAAATGTCAGATAAGAATGAATCAAGAACTAGACTTTCCAATTAATTTCTGGAAAGATGCCTTCTTTTTCTTTTATTTACTCTCTTTTATCCACTCTTTTGCCAATATATTCTTTTTTCTTTTTCCCTAGAAGGAAAAAAAATAGGTTAACTCAAAATTCAGGTTCCAGCTCAGCCATTGGTTCTGCTGAGTTTTAAATTTAGAGTTAATTGAGCCCGTGCCTTCTTCACTGAGATCTACACAAATAGTTGCTAACAAGATAATACAACTGCTAAAATGACCTCTTTATTTTCATGAACTTTTTTAGCAATCATCAAGGTGCTACACCCTTAGTTCTGGCAAAGCGCAGGGGAGTGAATAAAGATGTCATCCGATTGCTGGAATCTTTGGAAGAACAGGAGGTAAAAGGATTTAACAGAGGAACCCACTCAAAACTGGAGACCATGCAGACAGCTGAGAGTGAAAGGTACTTAAGATATAGTTTTTTAAGGGCAAGTCACTTTAGATACTTGGATCTATAATGACAATTTGTGAGCTTTTGATTTATTTGCTTTCAAGTACAGAGCTTTGATATTTTCTTTGAACTTTATATAGGTCCTTATGGCTCCAGATTATAATTGAGAAGCTATTAATAGAAAGTACATGGGCCGGCCCCGTGGCTTAGCGGTTAAGTGCGTGCTCTCTGCTGCCGGCGGCCCGGGTTCAGATCCCGGGTGCGCACCGAGGCACCGCTCCTCCAGCCATGCTGAGGCCGCGTCCCACGTGCAGCAACTAGAGGGATGTGCAGCTATGACAGACAACTATGTACTGGGGCTTTGGGGGAAAAATAAATAAATAAAATCTTTAAAAAAAAAAAAAAAAAAAAGAAAGTACTACGTGCCCACATGCACATCATGTTCTGTTAGCCACTGTGCAAGGAAATGTGCTGTATTGGCAGTCCAAGGGAGAAGAGGTAGTTAAAAGCTGAATATGAGGGAAGGAAACAGGAGTTTGAGAATTTTAAGTACAGGTCACAAAAAGAATGGAATTCAAAAAAAGGAGGAGAAAAACAAGTAAGGCTAAAACCTAGACAGTATTAGAAAAGACCAAAAGGTAGTTTCAAGGGTAGGGAAGTAGAGTGCTGAGGGAAAAGTGAAACAGGAGGAGAGAAAGTAATACAAGATTTAATGCATATACAATTCAGTAATATGAAAGTGAAAGTGATTTTCACATGATTTGGAACAATGAAATTTAATTTGGGCTCCTATAAGTAATTGAAGCTAAGATGTAGTGACTGACAGGGTCTTAAGTATCTCATCGTTTCTCATCTAGAACCAGTTTAGAACACAGATCAGGGAGCACTGAGAAGGTAACAAATTATCTTTTTTCTGGCTTCTCTGGCTCAGCAGGTGAAGTCAGTAGGCCAGACTTAGTTGTACTAGCATGTAGTTTGGTTGACCACCGTGGAGTTTCAGCCTTCCAGATGTTACCAGGTAAGAAGGGTGATGAGCTTACTATAGTCTCCTCCCAAAATTTTCAGTGAAATATATTTCAAAGGCCCTCATCAGCTGTTGACCCAGTAGCTGACTGACCAGGACTTGGCATTAGGATCATATGGTTCACTTATTGGGATCGTTGTTTCTGTGAGTTCAAAATGAAATCCTCTTTATTTTCCATAGTTCTCCCTTTATTTGATTCCTTTGTACCGGTGATTGCTTTCCTCCCTCTTCACGTGCTGGCTGGTGTACTCCTTGGGGACCATTAATTCCACTCTCAAACTTCGGACTGTTTTCTTTAGATACTTTCAAGCATTTATTACTGTGAAAAAAAGTTAAAGTGTTTTACTTCTAGAACAGTGCATGCTCTTCATGAGTTATCACCAAAAGCTGACAAGTAGATAGAAGTCAAAGATGCATTGGCAAGCTCTTTTTCTCTCTCCTGTGTACTCTGGATCAACAGTCAGAATGCCATAAGCAATTTAATAACATTGAGTTATCTATTATTTGTTAAAGATCATGTTCTTCCAAAATAACTTGAAATTTATTTTCATAATTCTTTAAGCTTCTTTGCCATGAAAAATGTCCAAGAATGTGTTTTTGCTTGGTATATTTTATGAACCTTGCTTGGTATATTTTGTTAATAGCCAGTTTCTTGGCACCTCTTTATCAGAAATATGCTTTTGACTTCATTTAGCCTCAGTTGTGATTACTTATTAACTAAGAAGTGATTAGTCATTTGAGCAGCTCAGTATGAAATATTTACTCCAGCTTTTTTCACATACCTGCCATTTCACTTCAGCATGAGAATTTGGTTTTTTTTACAGCATTGTGTAAAGCCAGTTCTTCAAAAACTAAGTTATTAATACTTCTACTACCTGGTTGTCCTATCTTACTCCTGTCCCTCAGTGTCATGATAGAAATGCAATGTTGAAGTTTAAATTAAGAAGCTTAAAGGCAACATCATTGATCATTAGGAAAATGCAAGTCGAAACCACAGTGAAATACCACTTCATGCCCAGTAGGGTGGCTATAATCAAAAAGATGGACAATAATAAGTATTGGCAAGGATGTGGAGAAATTGGAACCCTCATGTATTGCTGATAGGAATGTAAAATAGTGTTGCTGTTTTGGAACACAGTTTGGCAGTTCCTCAAAAACTTACACAGAGTTACCATATGACCCAACAATTCCACTTTTAGGTATATACCGAAGAAAATTGAAAACATATGTTCACACAAAAACTTATACACAAATGTTCATAGCAACATTATTCATAATAGCCACAATGTGGAAACAACCCAAAAGTCTGTCAACTGATGAATAAATGAACAGAATGTCATTTATCCATCCAGTGGAATATTATTCCACCATAAAAAGGAATGAAATACTGATAACATGCTACAACATGGATGAACTTTGAACACATGCTGCGTACGAGGAGCCAGTCACAAAAGGCAACATAGTATATGATGCCATTTATATGAAATGTCCAGAATCAGCAAATAGAAAGTAAATTAGTGGTTGCCAGGAGCTGGGAGAAGGTACAATGGGAAGTGACTGCTAAAGGCTACAGAGTGTATTATAGAAGTGATAAAAATGTTCTGAAATTAGATAGTTGAAATAGTTGTACAACTTTATGATATCCTAAAAACCACTGAATTGTACCTTTAAAAAGATGAATTTTCTGATATGTGCATTATATCAATAAAAAAAGTAGGAAAGAAAAGCTTAAAGGGATGGGCTAGCATGTGGCATTATGGCATCGCCATAATGTGTCACGATTAGCCTTCTCTAGAGCAGAAAATAAAGCAAAGTTTTCAGTGTATTTAGTATTTTCCATTTCCCTTAGGATTCCCTGAGATATAGGATAACTTCATAAGGGTCTATAAATCAAGTTGATGAAAAATATTTCCCCGCTCCCCCATATCCTAAGCTTAATTTAGTTGCTTTTTACTTTGTACTGACAAAGACAGTGTAGATGACACTTATACAAAAAAATATTACATACATATGCGCACATACATACCATCATGATAGCATCAGGTATTAACTGGACAGTAGAAAACATCTCATGGGATAAAGTCACCGTAGAAAACTCTTAATAGGCAGAGCTTCGTGAGCTCCTAGAAGAATGCTCGACTGAATTCTCATTTTATATCTAACATCTTTGATTATGAGAGCATGTTAACTCGGCCATAGTCAATAAATTTCATATAAGTCAAAATTAACCTCTCCTGAACCTGTTTATCTGTTTATGGTTTTATGTGTTTAAACCTTCTCAGGTTCTAATCTTATTTTTGAACTTGCTTCAGTTTCCTTAAATTTCTATATGGTTGTAGATTCCCACTGAAAATGCCTTCTCTTGTTCAGAGAATAAACATCTCAATATTAAAAAAGTTTGGTTGTCAAACAGATTAGTCCCCGAGGAAGTCAGCTTCCCATAATTAGAGAAGACCTCTGATACTAGTAAGGGTGGAAGGGCCTCTGGTCAAGAAGTAAAATAAAGTTGTATGTTAAAATAACTGCCAATTTTGCATGGTGAACCAGACTCTAAGACTTTGTTTCATGCTGTTTCTATTGTTCTGTGCCCAGATGGTTGGAAGAATATGAGGTGAGGGGTGTAGGGTGGATAGTAATGACCTTTTGTAAGCAATAGATAGTTGATATGTATGATTCTGGTCATTATGGCTTTAATCTAAATGATACCCTGTTACTGGACCTGTGTGTTGTGATATAGTTGTGGGTGCTAATTCCTTAGCGCTTTGAATTCATCACAGTGCAGCCTTCCAGATACCAACGTCAGACATACTGTTTTCTATTTGTAGTGGTCATATTTCTTGTTGACAGAGTTCTGAAAACCAAAATCAGTGTTTTTATGATATTTGTACTACCTTATTTTCAACTAGACTCAGCCTTTATGCAGAAGAGAAATAAACTTATTTTGTATTATTGTACAAGATAAAACTAGAACCAATGGGAGGAAACTATTAAGAAGAATTGCTAATGACTAGACCTGCCCACATGTGTAACAGACTGAGGAGTAAGCATCCATTATTAGAGGATTACAGTTAAAAGAAGGAATTCCTTCACTGGTCAGATTATTGAACTAAATTAATAAAAATTATCTTTTCACTTTAAGATTCACACACTGTATAAAACGATTTAAATTTTGCCATCTTTGCTTATTTTTATTAACATAAATTCTCAAGTTATGAATCCTTATTTTGAATTCTTCTAAATTTAAAATAACCAAAATGTGTTTTGGTTTAGTATCTGATGGAAACAACTCATTTGACCTACTTTAAGACTTCTGCTTGGGACTTTTTTATTAGAAAAGGACTTTTAACTTTGGCTCTTCTAGATACTAAACCAAGAAACATAATCATTACGGGTTAGCAGTTTACAGTTTAAGGTAGATTGTCGAGATGACTCAGTATGTAAGTGTATGAGAGTATTTGTATATATTTGTAAGTTTTCTTCTTGTAAGTGTTGTGTTGTATGGTTAGTTTCCTAAATAATCCAGTTCCTGTGGTTTCATGTTTTTGATATGGGTGCCGTGTGTTGTTCCATGCTCTCTCTTTTCTCTTTGTGTCTTTCATAGTGCCATGGAAAGCCATTCTCTCCTCAGTCCCAGCCTGCAGCAAGGTGAAGGAGTCCTGTCCAGCTTCCGAACCACGTGGCAGGAGTTCGTAGAGGATCTGGGCTTCTGGAGGGTGTTGCTCTTGATCTTCGTCATTGCTTTGCTGTCTCTTGGCATTGCCTACTATGTGAGTGGGGTGCTACCCTTTGTGGAAAACCAGCCTGAACTGGTGCATTAAAGGAGTTCATGGGAGATGAGGCAAATGCTGGGTTCCAGTGTTTGTTCTCAGTTTCTCAGAAATTTCCTCTTAGTGCAAGGCAGTGAGGGATGTACATTTTTTCTTTTTGCATTTTTACATATTATAATCCTTTTAAAAGAACGACATGTTCCTTTGAACTAACTACACACTATGGTCAAATATACTGCATCCTAAAGCTACCTCTGACTCACCCTGACTTCTTAGGAAAACCTACACATAGCCTTGTTGATAAAAACATGGAAATAGCTAAAGAATGAAACATGAAGTAAAAGACTAGAAAGTCTTCACTATAGAACCTTACCCTAATATAAGACCAACTAAAGTGTTCAAAAAGATAAAGGTTTTTCCTATGTGATTAGTTTAGGTTGGTAGTTTTATTTTGTTTTTGTTTGTTTATTTTTGCAGGAGTCCCTTTTCTCCTTTTATTTACTTTCTCTGGGGGTAGGGAAGAGAAAGAAACATTCAGCTTAAAACTTGAAGTGCTTTTTTCAAATCCTATATAGCAAAGCAGCATTGTTGGAATCTCTTTGGTTCATTTTAGTATTTTCAAGTCTAGTCACAAACAGAACTTTTGAAAATGAGCTATATTTTCTTCAAAAATGATTGATCTTGTGTTCATTTGTTTTTAGGATAATTTTGAATTTTTTGTGTCAGCTGCTTTGCTTCTTAATATCTGGAAAATGAACTTGAGGAATTCATTTTGTTCACTTTTCAATTTCCCCTAGTGTTGATTTCAATACCCTGTTCATTAAAAATACAGTCAGAAAACTGTTTTTCTACTCAATAGTTAGCAGGGAAAAATAATTCTGATATTTAACTGTCACTATAATTCCATAGCGCTATTATTGTGAAAAATTCAGTTCTATAAGCTAGGTGTGGCCGGCCCTGTGGCTTGGTGGTTAAGTGCGTGCGCTGCGATGCTGGTGGCCCGGGTTCGGATCCCGGGTGCGCATCGAGGCACCACTTCTCCGTCCATCCTGAGGCCGAGTCCCACATGCAGCAACTAGAAGGATGTGCAGCTATGACATACAACTATCTACTGGGGCTTTGGGGGGAAAAATAAAATAAATAAAATCTTTAAAAAAAAAAAAAAAATAAGCTAGGTGTATTGTCACAATTGTATCATAGTTCATAATTATTTCATTTCATGTGCAGTCCTATTTAGAGGGCTGTAGGAACTGTCATAACAGTTCCGTCCATGTCACTAATTCTCTGATGGCAAGAACGGATGGAACATCTCTGAGTTAACAATGCTGAACACTATTGTACTGGGTGTCGTAAAATCTTTATGAATGATAATATTATGTAAATTGAAATCTGGCCCCCAAACTGTATTGCAGCTTTCAGCAGTATGTTTGAAGTCCTCTTTTGTTAATGATTCTATTAGGTATAAGTCATATTCTCGGATTGTTAAAGAATATGAAAACGATAATTATTCATCGGGTATTGTCAGAAAATCATAGTGAAAGAACTAATGGTTTTATTTTTTAGAACAAAGGCATCTAAGCTACTACTAGTTGAATTGTTGCTAGAATTAGAAATTACAGTTTAGAATAGAGTTAGTATTTCTGTGATTCTTTTTGCTTCTTGATATTTTCTCTTTCGTGTTTATGTATCTAGGATTGAGGGATTTTCTTTCCTGTGGCTTTATCCTCTCTTAAAGAGCCATTTTAACATTTGTGATTTACCTGGCTGCTTCATTATCAGCTCACAGAGTCTTGCTTTTAGGTTAGATACAAACAAAATAAATCATACTTGGTGTAAGTACAGCAAAAAACAGCAGCCTCTAGGATGGAGAACACTAGAAATCAAAGTATATTCAGAATGAAAGCTTTGGAATTAGCTTTACATTTGTTTGTAAATGTAAACAGATATGCAAAATTGGTTAATGTATATGTAAATAAATTGCATTTTTTAACATTAATGTTTCCTTTTAAGTGCTTATTTCTTTGTATTTTATTCTCTACATTCAACATTGAATAATACTATCAATAAATGTATTTATAATCTCTTATCACAATTCGTTTTCTTAGTGTATCATTATTTTCCTTTTAATTTAGTTTTTTTAATGGGTTGCAATTGGTTGTTTAAAAACAAAGAGCTTTTTTTCAAACCTGATGTAATAGATATATCAAATTTATATATGTTTGCCTTATAAATGCTCTGAAATTAATTTGGGTGAATTGCTTGTGGATTTAAGAATGATAATAACTATCATGATTAAGCAGTTCCTAATAATACAAGTCACTTTACATGCCTCATCTCATTTCATCCTTACATCACCCCCCAACTACATTTACCCATTTTATAAGATGAGGGAACTGACATGAGAGAGTTAAGTAGCTTGTCCAAGGTCAGACAGCTAGGACATAGTAGAACAGGGATTCTTGATTGAGGCTCTATCCCCAATTATAAGTTTGCTCTTTCTTATCCCCCACTGTTGTGAATCTGGCAATGGAACCATCTAGAACCTTGCCTGCTGCCAACTCAGCAGCATGTTACTAAATTTTCCACTCATGTTCCTAAATACTTATCTTTTCCTCCTCCTATAATGCACCATTTTCCCACATCCTCCCAGTGTTACTAACCTTTAAAATTCAAGCTCAAACCCGTAGCAGAAAACCTCTCCGAGTTAACAGAAGACTACCCACTTCTGTGCCTGTCATTTCTCATCACTTACCGTACTCAGTAACCATGTGTATATTTTTTCATCTGTCTCTTTAATTATAAGTTTCATGAGAGCGGGGACTTAGTCTTTTTTTAACAACTGTATCTGTCCACAGTACATCCTGTAGAACTCTTTGTACACAAATAGTGATAGTATTACTTTTTTGCTTGTGGCAATGTTTTTTTCTTTTCAGATTAAATAGTTATTTACCTTTCACATGTTTCCTCCAACATACTGCATGTGTGAACTATGCTGGTTATTCTTCCTCTGCGACGTGCCTGCTAATTGACGGAAGAACTAACTCCACAGCCTTATACTGTGTAGCTCTTTTACATGAGAGCATGCAGGCTTTCCACCAGCATAGCTTTTTTTTTTACCACTTGGTGTAGAAGTCCAGGAACAATATTCACCTTTTGTTATTGGGGTTTTTTTGTTTTTAACCAGGCCTCAGTCTTTGACTTGTGAAATTGTTTAGGTATGTATCAAAGTGCTTTCAGCTGCAAGAAACCAAAATCTAAATTCAAAGTAGCTTAAACCAGAGGAAATGGATTGATTTATGTAACTGGAAGTCCAGAGATGGAGTAGACCCCAAGGGTGACCTAATCCAAATTTAGCTCAGTTCCCCTATGCTTTTGGCTCTGCCCTCTTGTTTGTTGGCTTCATCCTTCAGCTACTTCTGAGATGAGTCCACAATTTTCAGGCCTCACATCCATTTATAACCATGTAGAGAAGAAGAAAGAGACGGTCTTTCCCATGGTTCTCTTCTAGGAAACTTTCCTGCGAAGCCCGCAGCAAACTTCTGCTATATTTCGTTGGCCGACATTATATTATGTACCTTATTCTCAAACTGACCAATGCCATGCACTGGTTGATTAGGCCGGGATTAATGAACCAGTCCTCGGTGGGGGTGGGGTGTGGGTAGAATTAATATGATTGGCTTGGACCAATGGTTTCAGAAATGCTGGTGATTAGTAGGCAGGGGCCATAGATGTTTTATGTCCCACAGCACATGGGACAGTTTAGCACAACAAAGAATTGTTCCACATCTCACATGATTCTTGAATATTCTGCTAAACATTAAAAAAAAAAAAAAGGTTCAGAGAACAGCTGGTGGTATAGCGGTTAAGTTCTTGCACTCTGCTGCGGCAGCCCAGGATTCGCAGGTTCTGATCCCGGCGCAGACCAAAGCACCGCTTGTCAGGCCATGCTGTGGCGGACTCCCATATAGAGTGGAGGAAGATGGGCACAGATGTTAGCCGAGGGCCAGTCTTCCTCAGCAAAAAGAGGAGGATTGGCAACAGATGTCAGCTCAGGGCTGATCTTCCTCACAAAAAGAAAAGAAAGATAAATCTTAAAAAAAAAAAGGTTCAGTTATCCAAGCCTAAAACCCAACTCCATTTTACAGTTTAAAACAAAATATTTTTTATACAGTTTTGATATACACTGAATTTTCCGAGAGTATAACCATGAAATAATTGAGGGAAGATTCTACTTTATTTTGTTCAAAACTTGACCAAGAATTGTGCCTGTTTCAAAAAATCTTGTTATTGACAGCAGTGCTTCTGATGAATCACCAGCATAATTCTCTGTATAGGTACTGATGACTTCATTGTTTCTTCTAGTGTGACTGTGCCTGAACATTTACATATTGAAATACACATTTTATTACCAATTTCCCTTTGTTTTGCCTTTATATTACATGATTTATATGAAATCATTTTATTGATTTCAGCAATTGTTACTTTTGTATGGGACTCATACTACAGCTTCTCTTATTTAGTCATCTTGGTGTACCTTTTCCAAATATTTTATCTTTGAGGATATACCAGGAAGTAGCATTTCTCAAAGTTAATAGAACACTGAGGGGAAAGTAAGGGCCAGCATCTGGTTAAACCACCCTTTAAAATTGTTCAGGCTGAAACAATTCCAGCTGTGCCAGATGAAGTAGAACTTTGGGATCAAGCCAAATCCTTTGTGCCCTGAAGTAGATTCCAAACAAGGGTCTTGGCCTTGCCATGGATGCCTCCTTGGCTTCCCTTAAAGCACAGAGAGGCTAGCATTCTGTTCAGTCACTCATCCTTGGACTTTTCACATAGCAAAGGGACAGCTCCACAGCCCAAGGCATAGGGGTCTTTATTCACTTGGCAACAGAGTTTTGACCACACTGCAGCCAGATGTCAAGGAATACAGTCTGGAGTTCCTTGTTGCCTAATATTCATCAAAAACGTAGCTGATAATATTTGGAGAGTATTGCTTTGAAGGTGTTTTAAATCAGCACTGTCCAATCAAACTTTCTGCAATGATGGAAATGTTCTATATCTGTGCTGTCCAGTGCAGTAGCCACTTGTCACTTGTGTCTTAAGTTAATTAAATTAGAAATTCACTTCATCATTAGCACAGTTATCTAAGCCTAAAACCCAACTCCATTTTATGTTTTAGAACAAAACTAGCTATATTTCTAGTGTTCAATAGTCACAAGAGGCTATTATATTGGACAGCATAGATATAGAACATTTCAATTTTTGCAAAAAGTTCTTTGGGACAGCACTGTTCTAAAATCTACCTCAAGTCAGGTTAGTGTAGAACGAGATATTGAACTGTTCTTTGACAGTATCCACCCCGATTGCTTTTACCGAGCACTATACAGTGCTTATTAACTCAGTTTATCTTTACAAGTTGCTATTGTTATCCCCACCTTACAGTTAGGGCAACTAAGGCACCTGAGGTAGGTTGGAATAACAATGCCCAACGTCGTACAGCTAAGTGGCCAAGCTGAGATTTGAACTCAGGCAGTGTAGGACTGGAGTCTCTTCTAACCATCGTGCTGTGATGCCTCCTTCTGCTTAGTTGTGATGCCGTCGTCTTGAAGTAAGAATTGTCTTGAGGACTAGCCCTGTGTCCCTAACCATTGCATCTGTTCTGAGGAAAGTTGCTGAGGATGCTGTTGGCACAGTTCTTTATGAAGACCCCTGAGGAGGAACTTTAGCTTCTTAAAACCACCAACAACTGTATTTCTGCTGAGCTTTTCTTTCGTCTTATGTTCTCTATGAATTACGTAATAGATGAGGTAGAATTCCTCTTTCACACTGGATGTTGAAAAGCTTAACGCCAAATTTCAGTTCCACCAGAAACAATTGTAATGTAGGTCATTATGGTGATTTATTAGAACCTCATTCCTGGTTTATTTTATATCTTCATCTTTATTTTTATTTTCCTATTTTAAATATTCACTTTTTATTTATGCTATTCATTTTTTTAAATTATTATTTGAGCCCCCTTAAATTGTTTTTGGATCATGACGGAGATGGATAATTAGACAGTTATTCTTATTAGTATGAATTGATAGGACTACCACAAAACTATCTGTCAATTTCTGGAAACTAACAGCAGAAAACGCATTGACCTTCTGCAATTGGAAACAATAGTTTGCTGCCTCCTATTAAAAATGCGATTATGGTTTCTGGCATACCTGCAGTTGTCAGTTTACCTTATTTATGTGCCTCTCTTTGTTCCAAAAAGGGTTTAAGTTCAGCTGAGTAAGCGGTATTATTCTGAACTGTGGAAATCAAGTGTCCTACATTGTTCTACTCTGGCATTCTGATGAATCATTTGAGGGAAGCCTGAAAAATGAGCATTAACAAGTTACTATAATCACAGAATTTCAGAGATGGAGGGACATTAGAAGTCATCTAGGGAGAGGAATAAGACCAAGAGGGACTGAATAACTGTGGGCCCACAATTATGAAAGTGGCAGAACCGTTATGTGAATCCAGACATAGTCTGTTACTCCACTACTGCCCCTTACTCACAAGTCTCCATCCCACCACCCACCATATGCTAGTCTAAATGTTTTTTCAAAAATACAAGTATCTGGTGTTAGAGACATAAAGATAAACTTTCTTGACATTGCATTCTGTGTACTTTAATAGTTAACCAAG